TTTTTTTTTTTTTTCCCCCTTAAAAAAAAAAAAAAAAAAATCAAATAAATAACACAATATAAAGGAGGAAAAAAAAAAAGAATTTGTATCGTTGAAATATTAAAAAATTTTTCTTCTGTCCTTCGACTCCATTTTCTTCAATTTTTTCTTTCTGTTTCTTCATCATCTTTTCAGATTTTGACAATTATATGTAGTCAGAAGAAAGAAAAAAAAAATAATAGATAACTCTTCTCCCTCAACTGTAAAAATTTAACAAAAAAATAATGAACAAAAAAAAAAACTCATTTTTTTCTCTTTCTCTCTTCACTTTTCTTCACTGAAAGGGCACAATATAACACTTAAAAGAGTGTTGCAGATAGTTAAAAAGCTAAATACCACTACCGACATCAATACCAATGGCACACATACACCAACAACATACTTAGAGTATCTTCGTTAAAACAGCAAAAAAAAATTTAACAAAAAAAATTTTTTGTTAAACACTAAGCTATAAAACAGAGCAAAAAATAATCTTTAATCATCGACAGTAACAGAAACCATATTCTAACATACGCAACAGAAAACCGCTACTTTTTGAGCGCTTAACATTGGGAATAGGAGCAGCAAAAGCAGTAGTAACAGAGTAGGATAACCAAAAACTGTTAATAAAGTAAAAATTACATCCTTTCTTCCTCATTTCGCCCTCCTCCCACGTATCCATCCATCTATCAACTCATTCATCCATCCGTCCATCCATCCATCCATCTACTCATCTTCCAAACTGAGTAACCGTCCATCCCAATTTTCCTATCGCCAAACCACTTCTCCTTCTTCGCATGTCTACTCCCTCCCTCTTTCAATCCTCCTCTCTCTCGTCTGTCTTCTTCAGCTCCCCTCCCTTCCCCTCTCCCCCTGTCATTCACTCTGAAGACATTTGAGTAAACAGCTGGAATGCATAAGTTATTCCACATTTTTGCTCAAAAATGCTAACACCTTCAAAACGCCCATGCAAAACTAGTTTCACTATTGAATACTGAACATTCTGTATCTTCTTAAGAGCAAAAAAAACAAAAACAAAAACAAAGAACGAAAAAAAATTATTCAGTAATATTTGGAATGTTTACAATTATAATAAACAAAAAAATGGATAAACAGATAAATAAATAAATCATAAAATAATGAACTGAAAAAAAAAAACTTCAGTGTTTTCGCTTTATATCATTGTCAACTTCAATAAAAACTCAATCAAAGAACCAGCAGAAAGAGAGCAAAAAGAAAAAAAAAAATGCAGAAACTTCCCCTTCCTTTTCATATTAAATAGCTTTTTTTTTTCTTTTACCACTTTAAAAATCTTTAAAGTTTAAATAAAACACAAAAAAAAGAAAGTAAATAAAAGAAAATAAAATGAAATAGAAGAATAAAATATTCAAGTATTCAGGACAGAACAGATGTCTTCTGCAGTTCATCATAACTGTTTGAATGTGTCGACCAGTGTTGCTTCTATTTTTCCAATAACTGAAACGCATTTGCTTCCGCCTGATACTTGCCGCCTCCGTTCTCGCCTATGCTTTTGCAGTTGCCTTCCTTGAATTTCTCCCTCCCAAACAGATTTGCTCTCTTCGGTTAACATCACCTATCTAAACACCTCCAGTCCCGCATTTACAAACGATTAGATTCTATAAACAACCACCAAATCGGTTGACGTGCATAGTATTAATAGAATAAAAAAAAACCGGATGAATTTCTTTCTTTCTCTTGTCGTCAAAAAAAAAAGTGAAATAATCGACGCAAAAAAGAAAAAGTAAAAAAAAATAACATTCCCTCCTCGCACTCCTCGAAAACAGTTGGATTGCAATTATCCAGCTCTCAAACAACTGAAAACAGAAACTCCGAAATCGAAAAAAAAAAAAAAAAACATGAAATAAAACTTTCAAAGTTACCAAAATAGCGCAGCAGCAAAGGAGAGCGCAGATAATAAACAAACCAAACAGGTACCCCCAATTTTTGTCGATAAAAATACTGTAAACAACAAAAAAGACCGAAAAAGAAAAAAACAGAGTCCACCTCTAAACTACTTGCCTTCAATAATAACGTGACCGAAACTAACTAACTAACTAACCATATATCTAATAACTGGTTCTAACTCAATTTCATCTACAAAAGTATGGAAAACCTGAAGATAAGAAAGAGGAAATAGAGGAGAGAAAAGGAGAAAACGAGGAAAAAGAAGCGGGTCATCCTTACCCTCCCTTTTCCGTTTGCATGTTTTCACTCCTCTCTCTTTCCATCTTATTCCTAGCTCTCCAAACGTTCAATCGCTTTTTTGTCACGAACTTTCCCCCTTAAAGTCTTTCTATTTTCATCGACAAAAGCAGCCATCAATGACGACGGCGATGCTGATGACAGTGTCATTATGGGAAAAAAGCTAAAGGCAATTGCAAAGTCAAAAAGCCAAAGAAAGTAAATGAAAAAAGAAAGAGATAAAGAAAGAGTCGCATACAGAAATCTTTCCACAAATAGTAATATTCAAAAATAGACAAAAGAAAAGAGCAGTAAATAAACCGATAGATTTACCTCCCTCTTCCAAAAA